TCAGTCTTCGCTGCTATTAAATAAGGAAAATGAGAAAACTACTTACTTCCTTCCCCAAATATTTTTTCTGCACTGATGTATTTGTAAATTCCTTTATAATCCCCCATTTCCTTTGTTAGCCTGAAGCATTTAAACTAATCCATCCTCTGTGAACCTAAGTTGACTCACAGTGTCCTTGGGTGTCTTCAAATTTTTTTTTTTTGACGCTTTTTCCTAAATTCAGGTCTTCAAATCTACATGTGGAGTTTACTGCTGTTTTCCACAGCAGTTGTCAGTCATCCTTCAGCTGTAGTCTTTCTGGCTTTTGCAGCCACCTCGTACACCAACAAAATCTTGGCTCCTATGAGATCAGAATTCTTGTCCTTCTCCCTCTAAATCCATTCTCTACAGTGATTAATTTAGGTAGCATTTGTGCACAAGTTCCAGTTTCTCCCTCAGTAAGAAATATTAATCAGAGCAGGGTTTTTTTCTATGGTACAACAAGAACGGTCATGGTTTATTAGAGCACTCTGGGTATTGCCTTGCTGCCTCTATGGAAGACAAGAGGAAAGGTAAACTCCTTGCATCTTTCCTGAACAAGGCATAAATCTGCTCTGCACTTTTGTCTTCTTATGTGAGAAAAACCTGCCTAGCAGGCATCTTCTGCTGTTGTGTTGTGACACTGAGCCGCACATTCAATATCCGCGATTTTGTCTACAAAGGTGTTAGATGAATGGTTGCATTTTCGGAGTGTGTGTTAACTTGGAGTGCTCCCACAAATATGCTATAAAGTATTCCACATCATAGCTGCACTCTCCCAAGTCCTATTTGGGCAAAACAGAATCCTAAGAACCCGAAGCCCCTCAAATATTTTTATACTCCAAAAATACAATGACCCTATGTTCTGGTGTTTGCTTCTGGGATTGTCTGTATGTTTATCCAGCTTCTGCCTAATCAAAAATACAAATATAGCCATAGAATCATAGAAACATTTAAGTTGGAAAAGACCTTTAAGATCATTGAGTCCAACCACTAATAAGCAGCTATACTTATTACCAGTCACACAAAGATGACCCTCAAAGTGAACAGGGTGTGCTTCCAGAGAGCACTGGGTGTGCAGGAGGGACAGCAAGTCCCAACACTGCTGCAGGCAGCAACTTCGAGAGCCACCAGGTTGCTGAGGAAAGTAGGGGAACGCCAGAAGCATGAAGACAATTTCAATGATATATAATGATACAACAATCAACTATACATACATTAAACCAAACACTGAAACATCTGTGTTGGTATTGCTTTACTGGTATTTGTAAATACTTCATCTGGTGCCATTTCATTAACCAGCAGTTAAAGTTCAGTCAGCATTAACCAAAATATTAAATTTCAGCACATGTTGATGCTCAGTAATTCCTTCAAAAGTGTTTCACAGCTCAGGAATTGCCACTTTTCTTAAAACTGTCATCTTCTTGGCCAAATCCGATACTTATTCACAGACCTGCTAGCACATGAATTACGTTCACTACCCTTACTTTCATCTGTGTAAGTCAAAGTGTACGGTTTTGGTCCAATACCTTGGAAAGTTCCTGCTTTGACAGTATTTACTGTGATAATTTACAATTCTGTCGATTTCTGCACTTTGCAATTTAGCTACTGCCCATCTATTCTGGTAGCGGTTTGAAGTGTTTCTCCTCTCAGATGAAAAATTGTAGTATAGACCTTGGCTACTGCTAGCAGCTGCACAGAGACAGCTGAATATTTTATCAGCCAGACATCTACTTGCAATAACTGCACTCTTATTCACATTTTAGGTTACTTGCATACTGTTTGTATGCAATAAAAAAGTCAACGAACTTTAAACACATTTAGGAAAAAGACATAGATATTATACAAGCAGTAGAACCAAGTCTAGGCTTATTTCCATTTTCCATAATTGTTCCAAAAATAGAACAAAAATTTGAAGAACTGAGAATTTTACACTACCAATTAAGATGATTGTGCCATTTCAAAATCCACGTCAAATACTTCCTCTAGGCTGCATGCATACTTATACATGCACAAAACAGAAAGTTGCCACCACACCTTGCAAATAGAAAAATGCATTTGCATTTTAAACCAGAAAGGAAATAAAATCTCTACTTGCAGTCATCTCCTTTTCAAAAGCTTTGCGTATGACTCTCACAGCTGCAGAAATCAACTATTATTTCTGATCAACAAGTCTGCCATAGTGGTCAATCTAAATGGGAAAGGAACAGTTCTGCTGCTAGGAATACGTGGAGTAAGATACCCACTCTTCCTTTTGCAACGTGGGAGAAAAGAGAGAGACCTTATTTGTAAGGTGTTTTGACATCTACTCACATCTAGGTATTGTCATAGTTACAGATCACTTTCAACACCGTATAAACTAATCAAAATTAACATTTTCTAACACTTTATTTGCAATTATAAGACAGGACATCCAGTCATCTGTTAATATTTACAGCCTTCAAAAGGAGAAACAAAAGACAACTATACTGTACCGAATTTTAGGGAAAAGGCACATATCGTTAACCTGGTGTGACCACATCTATTACCAGTGACTTTTACCTCAAGGAGTAGACAAATGGGTTGAAATTATTAAAAAACAAAATTAAAAGGACTGACAGAACAACAAAACACGTGTGAGGGTGAAGAGGCACTGGAAGAGGTTGCCCACAGAAGCTGTCTGGTGGAAGATTCACTGCCCATGGCAGGGGCTTGGAACTAGATGATCTTTAAGGTCCCTTCCAACCCAAACCATTCTATGATTCTGTGAAAAGCAGTATAACATTTTAAACCCATGAATCTCAAATCAGTAAGCATTCAGTATCAAACCCCAAGACTGTAAAGAGGATATCTTTCAAAAGGATACCATTTAACTGGATGCTTCAGAAGGTTCTGAACAAATCTTTTACACAAAACTACTAAGGAATCTGACTGGACACAGAATGAGCATTAAAAGTAATACACAAGAAGCAAACCATGAAGATGATAAGTTTTCAACTTGACAAACATTAAGAGTAAAGTGCCTCGTAGATTTGTACTGAAACTGTTGTTTTACATATTCTCTCATCTGGAAAAAGAGACAATAGTCCACTGGCAGCATCTGTGGATAACAAAAATTTTCAGGTCTATTTTCAGGGCTAATGAAAATTGTGAAGAACAGCAAGGGCAGAACAAAGAAAGACGAATGTTGATGATTAACTCAAAATAATCAACTGCTCGTATACCCCAAAGTTTCCTAGGACTGACAGTCATAGGGAAAAGATTAATGAGGCGTTTATTCAGTGCATTCTGGTAAAGAAAACCAAAGTATTCCAGCCATACATAATGCTACAGGAATACATCACTGGTCAGTCTGTCACAGCCAGCAAGGCTTCATGAGGGGGAAGTCCTGCTTGTAGAACCTGATTTACTTCTACAACAGGATAACCCACCTAATTGATCTAGGAAAGCCAGTAGATGTAATCCTTTTAGATTTCAGCAAAGGTTTTGATACTGTCTCTCACAGGATCCTTCTGGACAAAATTTCCAGCATATAGCTGAATAACCATGTTATGTGATGAGTGAGCAAATGGCTCATGGGTTGAGCACAAAGAGTTACAGTGAATGGGGTGACATCAGGATGGTGCAAGGTCACTAGTAGGGTTTGACAGGGCTCCACCCTCAGCCCAGTTCTCTTCAACATCTCCATTAATGATGTGGACCCAGGAGTCAAAGGAATACTAAGTTTGCCAACAACACTAAGTAGGGAGGAGCTGTTGAATCCCTTGAGGGCAGAGAGGCTCTGCAGAGAGACCTTCATAAATTAGAGGGCTGGACAATCACCAACTGCATGAAGTTTAACAAGGGTAAGTTCTGGCTTCTACACCTGGGATAGGGCAATGCTGGTTGTGTGTATAGACCAGGGAATGAGAGGCTGGAGAGCAGCACTGTGAAAAGGGACCTGGGGGGCCTGGTCAATGGCAAGTTGAATATGAGTCAGCAGTGCCTTGGTAGCCAGGAGGGCCAACCGTGTCCTGGGGGGCATCAGGCAAAGGATCACCACCAGCGGTCAAGGGAGGGGATTGTCCCGCTCTGCTCTGTACTGGGGCAGCCTCACCTTGAATATTGTCTGCAGTTTTGGGCACCACAATATAAAATGACATTAAGGTATTAGAAAGCATCCAAAGGAGAGGAGTGAGGATGGTGATGGGCTTTGAGGGGAGGGCTTATGAGGACCAGCTGAGGTCACTTGGTCTGTTCAGCCTAGAGAAGAGAAAACTGAGGGGAGAAGCCATTGCAGTTACAACTTCCTCATGAGGGGAAGAGGAGGGGCAGGTACCAATCTCTTGTGACTAGTGACAGGACTTGAGGAAATGGCATGAAGCTGAAGCAGGGGAGGTTTTGGTCAGATATCAGAACAGAACAGAATATGCCAAGTTGGAAGGAACCCACAACAGGCTCCCCAGGGAAGCGGTCACAGCACCAAGCCTGCCTGAGTTGAAGAAGCGTTTGGACAGTGCTCTCAGGCACATGGTGTGATTCCTGGGGGTGGTCCCGTGCCAGGGCAGGAGTTGGGACTTGATGATACTGATGAGTCCCTTCCAACTCAGCATATTCTATGATTCACCATACAATACCTAGAGTAGTACTCAAGAAATTACAACATGTAATTGCAAAAGAAGTTAAGGTAGTCTTCCCTTAAAAAGACTTAATTATATCCATAAAGATATAATTTTTATGTAGCTTTCGAATTTTGCTCCGATTTATCTAATGTATCATATATCCAGTGATAGGATATGGAATAAGATGAACTTGTATGGTATAGCAGCCTGCAGTGTAAGTTCCCACAATGGAGAACACACGGAATTGCAGTATCTGATTGCTGATTTTGGCCCCGTAGCTTTCTGGAGCGACTTTCCTGTCTTGCAACCCTTCCTATCTGTAGAGGCTGTTTGATGTATACAAACAGATTTTTAAAACTGTTAATTGTATTATAGAGAAAATCCAGAAACATTTCATTTATAAACCTCCTCATTTGCATAGCAATCCAAATTATTACTGTAGGTTACTGATGCTATACAGCCTAAGGGAAACACTCAGGTAAAACCTGTAGGATGAATCTTCTATAAAAACAAACCCAACACCATTTAAGTTATTAGAAAAAACCCAACATTTTAATCTTGAAGACTTTTCAAACATTACTGCAATATGATTGTAGGAAAATATGTTTCTTCTTACAAGGAAGTTAAGCATATCCAATGAGATTTGTTATCTTCTTCAAATACAAAGTTTGATTTTCCTTGTTCAATTCCTCATTGCCAACATGGCATTTATGTCCCAAATAAGATTCCGTAACTGATCCATGATCTGCTTCAGCTGCTGATTCTTCTGTTTCAGTTTCTGTGGAAAGAGTTCATTATCAGGTTTTTTTGTGATCAGTTCAATTAACACACTCAAAAATTCAACAAAAGTTACAGTGTTATGAAATGCTATATGAACCTTTTCCTCAGTTGTCTGTGAGCACTATTAGTGGGATAACACATCCCCTTAAAATCACATCCTAAAAATACAAGAAAGCCTCAAAAGTTAAGGACTACGGCTACAGGTCAGTGCTGTTCTCTTCACAGCATTCTTTTTATCAGAACACCTGACACTTTCAAAAGCTGGAGGTTTGTGGAGATCATTCCCCACTTTTCAAAGTCCAAAGGAGAGCATCGTAAGTAGGAAGAAACAATTCAGGGAACAGGTAAATTTATGTGAATATATGTTTTGTAACTTGGGTTTGCAGAAAAATGAGGGATTAACAGTAGAAGTTTGAACAAAGCACAAGGTATAGGTGAAGCAAATCAAGCTTTTGCAGCCCTTCTGCCTATGTAGGTCAACTGTGATGTGCTTAGAGTCCTGTCTTGAAAAAGGTTCTCCCAAGCATGCTGAATTCTTTAAATTTATGTATTTGTTTTTGCAAACTGCAGAAGCATGTGAAGGAAAAGAACAGCAAACTTGCTTTTATTTGGTTGCATAACCAAAACTTAAAAATTATGTCTTTACAGAAGAAAGATCTGGGCATTAAGACATCACACAATTTCCTTAACCTTTCATGTTTCACAATAATACCCGCATTTATTGTCTCATTTATTCATTCTCCTGCTCAAATCGAAGCTGTTGAGAACTAAGTTAGGTTGTTGTTAACAATACACAGCATGTCCTTCATTTAATTCTGATTTGACAAGATGTCAGCCTTCTCACATCAGAGATCAAACTACTTATTCATTAGGGAAGTCTGGAGTTCCAAGTAAAGTGAAAGAACAGGAAAGACTTGCTACCATCAAAAGAAAACAAAATGTTTCAGGTTTGACGTAACTTTGTTATTGACACTACACAAATGGCAATACATTAAAAGGGCGACTCAGATCAGTAATACAACCAAAGCAACTGGAACAGTGATAAAATGAAGCAACAAAAGAAGCAATGTCCTGAAAACATTTTGATGCAGACAACACAACAATATTTTAAGATGCCCAGATGGTCAGTTGGGAAAGAAGTCCAGAGTAAAAAAGGAAGCCCATTAATTTCAGGCCTGTAAAAACAGTCTGAAGTAATATAGTAATTAGGCTTATATGGGGAACATAGTAAGGGAAATATTACTGAACACAGACTTTGGGGGACACATTTCCTGGAAGAAGAGACAACATGCAGTTCCAGACTCCTAGGCAGGATGTGAAAACAGAGGTAGGACAGTTCATGTGCAATAACACTGAATTTCTAATCAAGCATTTGACAGACTAAAAAGTGTTTTAAAAATAACTATGGGCATTTATCTAATGCTTCTTTCATCTCCATTTACTGATCCAAGACTTCATAATATATAGCAGAGATCCAACTCCTAAAGACGAGAGAGAAAACTAAGAATCATGTAGTTACCACAGCACCCAAATGACAGAACTGCAAGTGTCTTCCTACAAAGGTCTTGATGCTTGAGAAAGCACAAGCGGGATGAGATAAACAAGCATGTTCATACCTGTGGCATTTTTAAACATGTTTCTATTTGCCATCCTCAACATTCAATCTTAAAGAAATCAGCGAACATTACATCAAAACTACTAGTTTAATGCAGGCTGATACTGAGGCCATGTCATTTCAAGATTTTTCAAAACCTTCATCAATAGGAATGAAGGGTGAACAGTCAGTTGGTTATTCAAGTCAGATAGAAATAAGAACCACTGACCTCTGATAAGCAGACCGTGTTCTCTCTTCATCCATGTCTAATTGTATTGTTAAATACTGTTACTTAGGTAAGCTCACATGAACTTTATGCAAGTTATGCCCAAAAGACTTATTCTGTAAGATTGTTTTCCTTTCCTGTGCAAGCATTATGACACTGTAAATTGCTTGATCTTTATTTGATATTAGACAAGGGAACCTTCAAACTGGATTTCATTTGTTTTCAAAGCATCTGTAAAGACAGGAAGTACAAAATTGTTTCTTTATTTATCTGAAGATAATTTTAGATCCTTGTCTTCAGTGAAGACCTATTTTTTTAGCTCTTCTACTTTTTCTAGAGACAGAAAAAAACATCCAAGATGAAGCACTATCCCTGGATTGCTAGGCTGGTGAAAGTATAATGAGAGGAGAAAATATCCACTTCAGAGAGCATGGTCTCCTAATTGAAATGCATAGAGTGATCTTTGTTACTGATCTTTGACAGGCAGTGGCTCACACCACAAAGTAATACATAATTAATATGTTCTACACCACTGGAAGCGCTGGCCTCTGTTTAAGACTTTGCTGAGCCAGTAAGAACACCTCAACCCAGGTCTAACCTTGGAAAGATAGGTGAAATGGCCTTCTTGGGAAATGGGCAAGTTCTGTAAGCAGCTTCTGCAGTAATGACAAATTTTTGTTTGAACAGATTGCTTGCAAGTTGTCTCCCACTCTTTCCTCCTTCTATTGAAATGACTTAGTTGAACTCTGGACTGCTTCTCAGGATTAACAGTTGTACGAAACAAGAAAAAGTACTTCATCCCACATATATGCTACAGCTTCTGACTTTATCTGTTTTAAGATAGCACAGGGAAACTATCTTATATGAGGCAGTTTATAATGATCTAAGAGACCTAAGTTCAAGTTACATCTGACAGGCAGGTTTTTGTTAGTCCCTTTCTGTCAGAAAAGGGATCTGACTGGAAGTTTATAATGAGTTTAAGAGACCTAAATTCAAGTTACATTTGACAGGTAGGTTTCTGTTAGTCCCTTTCTGGCAGGAAAGGGATGTGACTGTAAACCAATCCTAAGAGGTCTTCTTTGGTGATACTAATATTCGATGTGATTAACTACCCATTTTGATTGACCCTGCAAGCACTATGGCCAGCAGGATGGAGTTGGCAAGGACTGCACCTTCCAGTATCCAACAATACCTCAGTAGGCATAGGTCAGGTAAGTCAGTCACAAAAACAGGTACTGAAGCACAAAACCCACATAAATGAAATTATGTGGGAGAACCGTAACATACATGCAGAAAATACTTGTCTTTCAAGGAAAAGAAAATCTGCCATAAAGAACTTGTCACGTTTCATACAGATTTGGGTTCAGTAGGACACAGTAATTTCAACTTCAACTGAAATGAAATTTCTACTAAAACTAGTTTTTGGTTCACTTTCATTTCATTTGAAATCAGTGCTGTCTAGACCAATTCACAGCTTACTGCATCAGAGATGCATCAGAACTTTCCTTCAACACTGTTCCCATCTCTCTCCTTATTTTAAGCTCATCTATCCTTCAAATTTTAAAACCAAAACATGAGTCATTATGCTGCACTCAAGCTATTTGTTAGAAGTCCCTTCTTCAGGCAAAGAAAATAGTGTAAACACTGTGGACAAGTAAGATCATATTCCAACTGGTGCCTGTAAAAACATCAACAGTATTTGCCTATATTGTACAGGCTCTTCTTCTGCTTAAGAAAAAAATAAACAAAGAGGGCTTTCCACCTTGAAAATCTTATATAAAAAACCATACCTCTGAATGCTGTGACAGTTATAGTTTTCACCTGCTCTGTTGAAGATCTACAACTGTATAGGCCAGAAGGACATCTCAGTGTAATAAAACATTAAATATTAGTAACAGTAGTACCTTTATTTGCATAAATCTTGGCAGAATTAAAAAATTATACTTACTTTGTTGATTATGACTCTACTACAGAGAACGGGCATCATGTTCTTTTCCATTAGTATAGAATCATGGAACAGTTTGGGTTAGAAGTGATGTTTAATGGTCATCTAGTCCAACCCCCCAGTGAGCATCTTCAACTAGACCAGGTTACTCAGAGACCAATCCAGCCTGACTGTGAATGTTTTTAGGGATGGGGCATCTACCTCCTCTCTGGACAAGTGTTTCATCACCCTCAGCATAAAAAATCCTTATATCTAATCTAAGTTGACTTTCTGTTAGTCTAAAGCCATTACCCTTGTCCTATTGCAACAGGCCCTGCTAAAAAGTGTTCCCACCTTTCTTGGGAAGCCTTTCAGGCCCCTTTAGGTACTGAAAGGCTGCTACAATATCTCTGTGGAGTCTTCTCCAGACTGAACAGCCCCAACTCTCTCTGCCTTTCCTCATGGGTGAGGTGCTCCATCCCTCTGATCATTTTTGTGGCTCTCCTCTGGACCTGCTCCAACCTGGTCCCTATCCTTCCTGTGCTGCAGACCCCAGAGCTGGACATAGAACTCACGTTACTCCTTCTGACCATTAAACTGCTGTAGGAAGTGATTGTTGAAAGCCTTATGAAGGTGACAGTGGCCTCCACGTTTCCATTTAAGTCAAAGCCAAGAAATTTCTACAGAAACACAATGTTTGTGATAGGAAAGTGAAATTTATACTGTCTCTTTTTAAAATGAGTCCTTTATATTGAAATCTCTGAAGTAAGGTCGAAAAACCTTCTCCTTTCTTTTTTCTTTTGGTTTTATAGTCAAAAGAATGACAATATTATATGCATATAGCTGGAAAAAAATATGATACAAAAAATGTCCTCAACACTTTGCTCAAACACTCTTAAAGCTGCCAGATGATATTCTAACTTACGTCTGCTCAACTGATACCAAGGCCCACTTTTCATCATAATATCAATCTATGTATAATTTTTTTCCAAAGGGATAAAAATATTAATCACTAATACAGTAACTGCTGTGCAATTAAACATTAACACAGCTTTTCCTGATGTCACGCACAGACATAACTGTTCTACCCCTACCAGAAATAAGACTGGGTTTTCTGCCTTGCTCCTCACCTGATAGCTGAAGGGAAAACTGCTCCTTCTGCATGTGTAACTCTATGTTCCTGAAACATGCAAAGGCACCACTGACAGCCTGGGCTCCACTGCATGCTCAGTACTTTTCACCTATTGACCCAGA